AGGGCGTGTCAAGTTCATTTTCATAACGTAAAAATTTATTTTCTGAAATAATAAATTTTTGGAGCAAACTTTTTCTTAATAAAGATTTGATTGTCACGCAATCTTTAGGTCTATAATCTGTAACTGTATAGGTATGCAACGAATCTGAGACACTCTGCAAAGACATGGATGATGAATGATGCCAAGAAGAGAGACAAAATTATTTGGCACAGCTTGCATGAAAGTACCGTGATTAATCTTAATAAATGAGGAGCAGTTTATCGCTTGGTAAAGCAGAATCATCAATGAATGCATTTATTAAACTCACTCATTTATTAAAAATTCTACTGAAAGTCGCAGTTTCAAAAGTGCGTATATCAGTAGATGGAATTTTATATAAAATGACCTAATGATATAAAAAATTATTACAAATATAAAAAAATAAAAAAATTTCCAATAATATTGTGAAATTTAAAAACTGATAATAAATTTTATACAATCATAATTATTTTTTAGCTTTAATTTATTATATACTAGATAATTTCAAACAAAATTGAATGTTTCGAATATATAGTGTTTCTGGATGGAGTTGCACTTATCTACAACATTTTTTTCTGTATGTATTTCCAATACATCTTATAATACGTTATCACTGTGATATTTTGTATGTTATTCGATGACATGCGAAACGCAGCAACTTCTTCGTTCATTATGTACCTGACTATTTTATATATTTATTTGTACTTTCAATTTTTTGTGATTAGAGAAGTTTCGTTTAAAGCACACGCTCACATCGTTCGCGGCTCGGCGTTCACTGTCGCCATTGGTTGCAACCAACCCCTTCGTCGTAGTCGTTGTCGGCGCACGATTCTTCCCCTTTTTCTTTCAGGGCCACGATCGATCGGCGATCTCACGCCTTTTGACTCTCGCAAATTTGCACGGTAATGAACCGCGACCTATCTTACGAGACGCGCCCTGAACTCGGTATCGGATGTCCCGAGAAATCGCAAAAACACCGATCCTCGAGGTCCTCGCGATTATTGGTGACCAACCGCGAACCGACGGATGAAAAGTTTTCTCGCGAATGACAGTCTCAATTTTAGAAACTGTGGTTCGCGAACGTTGGCAAACGATCCCGATCACTCGCGGCTAAGTTGACGTGGGTACTGCTGGTCGGTACCACTTGATGTTCTGTCATGATCTTGCGTGAGAACGTGACGCGAAGGGAGAACGCGCGCCGACGTCCAATTAGGTTTCGCGCGGGTCTCGAGGACGGGCGACGAGCACGGACTGGGCGCGACGTCGAATGAATTGATCGGCAGGTTCTCGCCCTTGCAGAACCCGCGGACGTAAGAAGGACGTCTTATCACCGTTCGCATGTGCGATCTTCCTTCGCCGAGAACGTGGACGGAGTGGCGAGTGACGGAGCTACCTGCCAGGCAGAACGGGGGACACTGCGACACTGATCAGGGCGCCGTGTAACGGAAAGCCCATGCATTTCCCGAGCCCTCTCATAGCCCTCTCTTTCCCTCTCATTCCGGCACGCGTGCGCCCCGATAAGTCGTTCTTCCTTTCTCCTCTTGCTGCCACGGCGGGCAATCCGCCAGCCAGCGGATTTGCCTCTTCCTCCGCGTCGCGATTGACGTGTGCATCCGTACTTCCGGTACGCCTTTATCCCGCCACTCGCAGAAGACTGGATGCGATGCGATCTTACTTGTCTTGTTTTTTTTTTTTTTAATTCGCGATAAATGCGTAGATGACCGAATTTACTGAGAGTACCCAAGATTCTAGAAAACCTCCCCACTGACAAAAGATTTTTAGTGGATTTCAATTAGTCATATCGCTAAGAGCTTATTTTTCGATCGATGGAAAAAATGTATTAAAACAGCAAGTCTGTTGTTTTTAAAGTTAAAGATCGATCGTCCTAGAAAAGGTATTAGTTTCCCATTTAATTGAGGACTGAACTTCAAAAGAAGACGATTAATTGACATTACGGTTTAAATAGATAATTAATTAGATAATCAATTATTCGAATATTCGAGTGTGCTGCTTATTCTAATACTATTTAAGCGTTACGATCCATTTAAATTTATAGGACGTACATTTATTGCAGAGATGTCATGTATCGCCTCGATATGTCTTGCACGATTCATTAGTTACCGTTATTAATTAATCATTCTCACGCTAATTGTGGCCTCTCGTCTTCCCCCGGTAATTTCTCTTGCAGTCGGTTACGCAATTCTGACTAGTGTAAGTTAAAATGAAAAATACCGGGACTCAAGTTGCCTAATCGTAAAAGATATCGAGGATCTTCCGCGCCAGGAAATAAGTACGGAATGTCAGCTATTCGATGTTCACGTGCTATTAATTATTCTCTTACTGGCGGCTGCTTCCTTCTTTGAAGCAGGTTCTCGGAACATTGCGAAAGCTTGATGATCGCTAAACGAGCTCGCATGATACTATTTTCGGCACTGAATCTCGTGCGTTTTTACGCATTGCCATGTGCAACGAAAATGGCATAAACGCAGCTGCATCAGAGTTTCACTAGTCACAGTTCTCAATAGATTGATTTAAATACTAAAACGAATATCTTAGATATTTTTTGAAATTTCGAGAGAATTTTCTGTGACAAATTTATGGATATTTATATCAATGAATGTAACAATATTTTGTCATAATTTTAAAGCTAACGGATTATAGCATGCTTTTGCAAAATAAAGAAAAAGTTTCTGCGCAGCTTTAAAACGAACCTCCTGATGAAAAACGTCGGCGCTGTTATAAACCAGGGAAATTGATTTATTGGCGTTGATATAATTATTGCAACAACACCTGAGTACATGATAAAAATCTCTGCAATGTTGCCGTATCGGTTATCAATATATTGGAAATTCGGTGGCTATTCTGGTTTATATAAATAACTGAGCACGCGCGATGAGAACTCCTCTCCCGTTAAGCCTCACCGCCAAATGATGGGTGCGCTTGCTGAAATGCAGCCTACAACTTGGAGGAATAGCATCTATAATTCAGACGTTTGTTCGGAATAACGCGACCACGAAGTAATGATCAAAGTTACGACAATACCAAAGCGACACATAAATATATATGTTACGACTTCTTGGAAGCCCATGAGCTTTGCACGACTTTGTCGAGCAGATTGGATTTGCATATTACAAAGTGCAGAATGTTTCAAGAGACAGTTACAACGTTAAGGGAAATAAACGCTTAATCTAATCTTAATTGTTTCATGCATGCAAGAGTAAGGTTTCGTGATCACACGAGTATACACGTGTATACAGTGTCTTCTAGTTCCGATAAAATTCTGAGAAACTTGATTGACCTGAAAGTCTTTGATACTTGTCACCACGTACCAATAGTATATTCAGGAAACATTGGAGTAATGCGAAACAATCGATCACGAACTTAGAAAAATTGTTTTCTGCACATAAAATGTCGCGTTGTGTTACGCTTATACGTAACAAAATAGCAATATATGTGAAAAAGTACAATTTACCGTATGGTATGACAAGTATTTGAGAAATAAAGTAATTTTTATTGGCCGATATAAAGTCAAATATCGAGTTAATTTTAAATATGTTACACGATTGTCTTTCGCTCCATTCGTTAATTTTAAATATGTCATACGATTGTCTTTCGCTCCATTCTATTTTTTGCCTCGCATTCATATCGCGATGCAATTTAATTTTCTTTTTCGCATGTTGACGTTAACATAAATAGATGGTATTGTAACGTTACTATTTCAGCATGTGGCTATTACGGATTCATTAAACGAGACGCTTTCTAATTTCACGCTTCGCCGATAATATTAATTTGAGAGATCCCAACGGCCTCGTATCTTTCTCAAACCGCAGAGTTTTTACTCCGCGGCTTTATATATCGCGTTGATGTTCGTTATAAAACGTCATTTTGCGAGAGTCCTATGCTGCGGGAGATTTCCGCCTACGAGACTGCGGCGCAGTCGGATTGGCGCCAGTCAGGGCTGTATTAATGTAAGGCAGTGTGTTAAAAGTACACCCATATGCAAACAACCTCCTTTCTCTACTCTTCCCCTATGCATTGCTGTTTTACTAAATATTTGAAAGCTCACAAGTTCCGTCGCATTTCTCATACATCACCTACAGTCACGTGCTAAATGTGAAACGAGATTTTATTTAAAAAAGCAAGAGTTATTTATCATCTGCGATAAAAAAAAACACAAACTAACTTGATGTGCAAGAACTGATAAAAGTTTATTTAATAAGCAAAGTCTGCAATTGTTTAAAAAAAGAAAGGGAATTTTCGCATAGTAATTTGATAGCAAATCGTCACAATTAATTATATATATGTGCTATTCTATTAATATTGTTACTCTCGTAAATGTTGCTAGATTTACTATTCTTTAACTTTTAATTAATCGAAACAATGGAAATGAACTACGCAAAAATTTATCAAATACAGTTGCTTATTACGTTAATTACGTAATTTGTTTCTTGTAGAAGAAGACATAAAATTCGCCCCAAAGTGTTTTAGGGGCATCAGAAATTCGTTTTCATTTAGCGAGAGTATTTCGTGACGAAAGCACGTTTTATTTGGTTGGTATCAGTAAATGAGATTTAACTTCTCTGCGAATTCTATCTTTAATTCACGAAATTAGATTGCTCCAAGTGGGCGAAGGTATCTTTGACCCACCAAGGAATGGCTGACGCTTTCATTTCCAGAAAACAGTTTTACGCCAATTTCAATTAATGGGATAAATACGTCGCCGTGAGGCTTTTAATTTCCTACCATCTCTCGAAATGAGATATCACGATTCTCTGTGTGACAAGAAAACTCCTCTCTATATAATCATACAACTATTTTTATGTTACACACACAAGAAAGAATTTATTTCTGTAGATAATCCCACGTAATAATTAATTAAAATACATATATATTTAACGTTGCGACCTTTTGAGATTTTCTACCTGTTTTCCTCACAATTTTCGGACCCTAACGTCGTTCATCAATTATGATATTTCACTTACCTGAGCAACTTTTTCTCCCATGTTTGGTGTGTGCATTGCTCCTTGAAAATACTTCGCAGATCCATTGTCTTGTAAGGAAAACTATAATGATAAAAAGTACGCATTAACAAAGTATTATGTTGAAAATAATAAAATATTTTCAAAAAATATATCAATCCGTTTTTAATATATTTATTAATTTAATAATTCCATGTTTAATTAATTAAAAAGTAATCTAAGTTAAGGAATAGGAACTATATGCATGAGTGATCTTCGTGAGTTTGAGCATGGTAACTTACTTTGTGTTTGATGGAGTCCGGTCCCATCTGACTCAAAGACGGCGACTTCCTGTCCCTGGACGTTCGCCATTTCTGCAAATCGCTTTCGGAAGCGACGCCAGGAAAGATTTTCGAATGTTTCGCAGCTACAAAAAATGAATAGTAGGTGTAAGTCTTTTCATAGTTATGCTACGCGAAAGGTAAAGTGGTATCATTGTTATCATTAATCCAAAATCTATAGGCGTGAAATACAGGCTCGATCAAATCGAATCTATTCGAATCTCAATGGATTTTTGAAACTGACGGCAGCGAGTCTAATGAGCTAAGTCACAAAATCAATCGTTTATATACATCGCTAATCGATATATTTAAACGATTATAAAAAAGCTGATAGTGTGATAACCTAGTACGAATACAGGCACGTGTATATAGTAATACGTGTCTTATACAACATAATTCTTCTGGTTTTATAATATCATTTCCAGTATGCATACTAATCTAATGTAAATACAATAGTACAACGAAACGATCATACCACATCCATATAAATTCCGCATTATTCTTCTGTTTTAAAGAAATGACAATGTTTTATAACTAATTAAATGTTGCATTATGTAAAAATATCTGTTGAAGAATGCATTGATAGAAAATGTATTTAAAAACTATAACTATAATATTGTTATCCTTTTCTTAATTGTATTCCTTTTTAACTGTATATTTTGCAAGCAATCTAATATTAATCGAAGATCGTATTGGTGATCGCTTCGATGTCCACGATTAGCTTGACGAATGAATAAATAACCGAGCCTATATTTCTCTAGAAGCGTTCAGAAGTGTGTTAATAAAACAAGTTAGTTAATCCGCACTAGAAGCTGCATACCTGTGAAAGAGAGATTGTTTTATTGTTCGTAAAAGTCGCGCGAGACGTTATATATCGCGTGACGATGCGTTAATTAGATGATACATCGGATACTATTATATGTAATATATGTATATAATGGGAGGATCATTTTGCTGATGATTTTTATACAATGATATATGGCGATTGTTGTTGATCGCGGCCCCGCGATTAAACGCGGTTCACATGGCTGCATCAGTACGTACATAATGGCGAATACCTAAATATGCACTGTGATATTTGCATATGTGTTTGAGTAAAAGAAGCTGTGAATGCTTAATCATTCTTGTCTCGTTGTAAAGTAAAGCATGGAAATTTGATCTTCAATCAGCCAAATGTACCCGAGTGAAATCCTTGATCTTTACTACTTTCGAAGAGTCAGTTGATCGATGAGAGTTTAGATGTCGGATTCAGATCAAACAAACGAGCATGAATAAATACGAGTGAAAAATTTGCTTCGATGTGTGCTAACAGCATTGAAGCAGTTCATTTGTGTTTGCTCGCGCTCGTTTGTTTCCGATTTGCATTCGGTTTGAGAGAGCGAAAGTCAAGATTAAAATAAATCAATATCAATAACTTGAATAAAGATATTTTCAAGATACGAAATGAATACGGAATATTCATTATTCTTGAGAAATAACATATTACATTTCAGAAAAAGGCAAAACGTAAAACCAAAATTTTTGCATAAAATACGTCATATGACTCGAAAGTGATCCGGATTTTTTTTTTAGAAATATGCAGATCTTTCGTCAGACAGTTTTTCCTCGGTTAAATTTAATAAATAAATAAAGTTCAAATTGTGTAAGTTGCATGCATTATCGAAGAAACCGGATTGCTTCACATAAAGTACAGTTAAAGATATCTAGATGTATGTACATCTGGACGTCCTCAGATTTGCGAGTATAAAATGGCTGATCGAGCGAGTGCCGGTCTGATAATCGTATACGGCAGAGATATAAAACGATGATATTTCTTCAAAACGGTTTTTACAAACAATGGAATTTAAATGTTAGCATATTGTATAAATCAAAATGGTAAAAGTAGTAAGTAGTAGTAGTAAAACAGTACAAATATACAGTAACAATAAGTGGTGAGTAGTAGAAACAGGCCTATGAAAGCTCAATCGGACACAAGTAGTACGAAGTCAGATCTCGAAAGCTCATGATAACAAGAAAGCTGCAAGCGCTTGGTAAGTTGTAAAGGGGTGCAAGCTCGCCGGTTGACTCGCGGTCGGTTAAAGGAAAACCAAAAGAGCAGGGTTTGCTCCCTCCTGTTTTACCTTCGGCCAGATTATCGACTGTCGCTGGTCGTCGCTCGAGGGTGACGTGTTCGCTCCCTCGGCCCGCTACTAAAATAGTTTACTGTGGTTTGACTTTGGATTGACAGGTCGTGAAGAGAGAGGGGATCGCCATCAAGCTGACGAAGGCGATAATGTAATGCATAAAATAAGGGGGGGAAAGGATTGGGAAAGCTATCATAATTTTCTGTTTGTTAAAAGAAGAAGAATATAAAGCACAGAGACGTTACAGTCTTCGTTTTGCTAGATATTTAATATAAAATACAACCATCTTTTTTTTCACTATAAATAAAATGAAATAAAATAAAAAATTATGATCGAATCAGATAAGCATGTCCTGACGTCTATTACAAATTTAGCTATATATTTAGGTATAAGACAATTCCTTTAGCCGAGGTGGCTAAAGGCATAATTCTTGATTGAAATTCACGAGAGAGAGAAAGTTCGAAAGAACTATTTATACTTGCGCATAAGTTATTTATACTTTTATGAAACTTAATTAGGGTTGATTGGCTGTGCGAACATATTTACGTGCGCAGCTTAATGTTAGTTATTTTGGAATACACATCCTCCACAAAGAGGGTGCCGTCCTACGCGACCTAACTGTATTAAAAATAGATGCGCGGACTCTGGCAGGATCTGGCATCTCTCCCCGATCCTTTGTTGTCGTCTCTGTGCCTTAAAACTCGTTCTCGCGACTTATACTTCTTTTTCCCAACATTCAAGAACTGTCGTCTATGTATTATCGGACGACGTTAAAAACAGTCGGACGCTCTTAGACGGAGATGGTGACCCGAACGCTTTCGCATTGTTTCCGTGCTCTAGATAAACTTCATACTCTTGGCAAAGCTGCTACCAGATCACGTAGCAACTGTCGGATGCTTATTGCATTTCAAGTGGTGACCAACGGCAGTTACGATGAAGTCATGAAGACTGTCAAAAAGCGTCTTAAAACCGCTGGACATCTTTTTAGCTTCAAGCTTTGTTCAAATTCCGTTTATTTTCAACGTAAAATTTACTTTACTGAGAGAATAAAAGTCTATCAAGAACATACGGTAACGGAATATTGATACTCAAGTCATCTTTGACATACGTTAAGATAAATATTAAAGACACATTATTAAATATTAAAAATTGATCGTGGACACTCATAAGAAAGAATGTACTTAATTCTTTGTTAGAATAAAGAATAAATCGCCCTCTGCTCGGCAAAAAATATCTTTCCGCATAATTTTTTTTTCTCCGTAATCAACGCAAGTGGGAAAGACAAAGCAAGTGGAAGAGACATTTATCTATCAGTTTCTATCTGCAAACATGCAAGACCTCCCGCTCCTATGAGCTACATATATCGATGTACAGTTCGCGACGTTATAGAGTATAGAGTGCTCTTTGCTCGCGATGTATGGCATGGAAGGCCAGATGGTCACTATCTGTCAACATCCGCGGCATGAAACATCGCATGCAACGATATTATTATTATTCGCGTTACCACAAATTATTATTTAACCGCGATACATATAAATGGTCATGCATGCGGATCATATATTGCAATTATAAATGCGAATAAAACTCTTTCAACCAAACTACAATCACGACATTGAAATATTTCCCCGTTTTCTCAATTAGAGTCAAATAAAAATCTTTGCAGACGTTATGGACGGCGGAACGATAAAGTAAACGCTATTCAATCATATTAGCTTTCAAATAGAATAATTACGATATTTCCTTAACTTGTGTATAGCTAAGCTATTCGTTTCAATTGTTCACAAAATGATCGATGAAATCCGAAGGTTTCTATATCAGTTGTGACCTTTAGAAAAGTAAATGTTCCGCTAACTAGAATTGAAACGCAACGCAACTAGGGAAACGTACATATATATTGTCGGTCGTAAAACAAAACACCGCTCCACAGAAAGCGCTAATGCCAGATCAGGCAACTCGCGGGACACGAAGTATAGAACAAAAATGAATTGTACGCAGTGGAGGTTATCGTGTACTTACAAACGCTGCAGGTGAGACTGCGACAAGGTGCTCTCGCCGTTTCTGCTTTCACGGCTCGCTTCGAGATAGCATCCAGACTCGCCGCGTGAGAGACACTCCGCGAAGGGCCCTCTGCGACACCCCCCGAAGACGAGTTCCCGCCCTCCCAGATTCCCGACTTTTGCGAGACCTGAAAGCACAAAGCAATCACGTCGGTTGATTAATTTTTTCATATTTTTAGAAATATTTATTAAGATAATTCCTAATAATAATTAGACAAGTATAATACATGATAATTGTAAATAACCAGCTATCCATTTCAAAAATGGATAGCTAGTTATCTACAATTTACGAAAGAATTTGCGATGTAATGTAAAATTAATTAACGCAAGACTGCGCTTTCTTCCGCAATTTTTCTTACTGACATTTCAGCGAGAACGTAAAGTTTTTTCTTGCATCTAAAAAAAAAAAAAATTTTCCACGTCGGCAATGCGGCAGCTCTAATCCTTAAAATTCAAGGAATCTCGCCGAGGCAACGTTTCGGGCACGTACGGCTGATCCTATTAGCTCGGTTCGATAGCACGACCGGCGTCTATTACGTCCAGCCGTCGGGCATGCTCGTGAAATTGAAACGGATAGAAGGGCTTGGTGGATAGGGAGGTGCGAGAGATAGTTTCGCTCTTACACACCGTGTGTACGAGAGCTCCAACATATGTTCGGATTGTATGGTAGCAGCTCATGCATGCGCTATTAACTCGTGTACGGTCGTGCGATAACCTTTGCCCGTTCTGCAGCTACCTACGTGTCAGTCGCGTATCGTGGCCGACGGCGAAACTTTGTCCCGGAATTTCGGGCTATCGCCGCCACGTGCATGCTAAACGCGCGTTTAGCGCTCGTTACAGACGTTACGTTTGGAAAACGCGATTAAAATGGGTGTTTCATCAAAACTCGACGGACGATTTCTCCGACGTCTCTTTTCTCTTTCCTCTTTCCGACAGATATACTATTTATTTCGCAAGTGTCTTGTACCTATATCATTGTCAATTGTTTCGTGCAGAGAGTAATGCGAAATCCCATCAGATAAAATATTTAATATATTTCCTTTCTATTCTCTCTTCTCTTATAGTCTGCTGTATTAATAGCCTGAAATTTTGTACTTGCTTTCCACGAATGATTGAGAACGTAGTAAATTTTTTCACACTCAGTTTGCGTGTGAAAATTAAATAAGTTCTGTCTATTGCAGTCTTGCTCATACGTATGCATTACTAATGACGCTGCTTAATTACTGCCGGTTAACTGATCGCAATGTTGGCGGATCGCGTGCTCGCATAACGAATTGCTCACGCTGCTGGATGCACTTTTTCTACTTACATCGCTCACTCCCTCGGGACTCGCGATGGGAGCAGTGGTGCCGGGCTGTGGTATTATGCTCGGAGTAGTTGCCGACGTTGTTGCGCCACCATTGTTGTTGCTGCCGCCCGACGGCGGCGGTGGTAGACCCGGCGGGGGTGTGCCGGTCCTCCCAGGGCCCCAAGATTCCATCATTGTGGGCGAGCCACATGTTAACGGGCTAAACACATCACATAAGTTTGATTAATCAATCAAAGTTCGTTAGAGTTGCACATTGTGATCAATCATATTTACCGTGCTACTTTAATTTTCAAATATTTATGATTTTTGGATTGGCTCAGAAATTATTTTATCCTGTAAAGCTACATAAAATGGTTAAAGGGACTGCTTCCTTTAAAGATTTACTACATAATAGTCGCACAAATTTAATCCCTTTTGAAAAGCATTAAAATTGTACCAGAAGACCTCATTAATAGCAAATTATGTTCGTGAATTTTGATACTCAATGGGACCTAAGTTATCCCTTTCTTCATGAAAGATTCAAGCAACAAAAGCGACTATACAGATAAACAATAGTTATTATGAAAAAATCCGCGATACAATATTTATTTCCGGAACGCAAACCCCTGGCACGAGTGATAAAAAAAAAACCGAAACAGGTGCCTTCCATTAACCCGGCCAGGAAATTGTGGCTGGCAATGGCCGACCGTATCTAATAACCCTCCCTCCCCTTATGCGGGAAATGACGTTAATCCGGAAGATGGTTCGCGCGCGTAGTTCGAGCCCCTAAATGGCCACGTCGCGGGGCGGGGTGGCGAACGCGCGGCGGAGAGAAATTTATTGTATAAATTCTAAGGCTATGGGGGTGGTCGATACCGCGATACGGAACAGAGGTCAGACCTCGCGAGTGAAGTGTGTCAGTGTTAGGTCAGACTTGCCAATCGATAAACAACCTCAGCCCGCGGCGCGACGCGTGCTTGTGCGTGCGTGTGGGTATGCATTCGTGCGTGCGCGTGAGCGAATGCGTGCATGCGTCGCGTTAACTTACGACCCGCATTCGGTGGCGCAGTCCGCGTTGGTCGCCGCTGGTGTTGTTTCGTTAAAACAATCATCATTTACCGTCATGTCTGTATGCGCGTTATAGCATCCACGGACAGACAGCCGCATCGTCCTTTGTATCGCTTTCAATTCGCAGTTGGTGCATTTGTAACGCGATTAGATTCGATCGGAAGGGAATTACGTAGGGGAACAAAAACGTACGGCAGTACGTTTGGTTAAGCGAATGTACAAACAGCCAATTATAGATACCGTGCGCCGCATAATGCAATGGCCTTCTATGCGGCGCGGCACCCGCAGAAGCCATTCGTGCGCGTCCACACTAACAACTATTCAGTCGCTTCATTATACTAACTGTTTCTTCTATTGTTAGATATGTATAAATATAAATTTCAAGTATATTACAGAGCTCGTTATGACCTGTTAAACTTTCAAGTATCTAATTACAAAAACTTGATAACCCTTAGATAAAATTACGGCCGGTTCAAATGCAAACATTTGCGTAATAACAACTAGCTAGACACTCGCACGAAATTTGCATTAGAAATAACGACAGGACGTTGAATGACACAATTAGAAGTTGTAGAACGACGGGATGTCGCGTTCTCTTAACAGCTTCGCACTTGACGTGTTTATCCACGATGCGGTTTGCTCGCAGTTTTGCGAGACGTCGCGAGCACGGCGTTTGATTACCGTCATTCGGATTTAATTAATTAATTCTGCGCTCAATGTGTTGAGAATATAACACGAGATTAGTCCGGCGCTCGATAAAATTGATTCCCGCCGTCTAACTGCTAATTGGACGTAAAAACTCGGGGAGGGTAACAAATACGGAAGAGTCGAGGAGAGAAGGTCATTTAATTTGCAGAAAAGTTTACGGTCGATAGGTCGCCAAAACGCCCGGCTGAATCTGCAAGAATCATATAATGGCGAGATGGCCACCGATCTTTTCAGGACTTCCGTACTGATAGTGTTAAGGACGAAAACGTGGATGATATCCGTTTGGAAAATGTCCAAACGGTGTTCGAAAGTGGGGAATCGTTGGCGGGGCACTCTCATAAGGCAACGAGCAACTCGTCGATACACAAAAAGAGACTCTCCTTTGTCCAACCCCCTTTCGCGAACTCTTGTTCGAAAACGTTCGCCGTTTACCGCCCAGGCTCCGTTTACCCTCCAGGCCTCCGCGATTTGTATGCATGAGCGAAGTTGCAAAGCGAATGGGTCAAGTTCATCATTCAGTAAATGAAGATACGATATATTGCGTGACGATGAATACCTGTATCTCTATGATTTTGAGATTTCAAAGTTGCTGATTTTTCAGACAATCGGATAACAAGTAATCCTGAACCAATAGCAGTTATAAAAAAATGTAAATTCATATGCATAACCTTTGGTTTCTACATAGCGTAGAAAAATCTGAGTTTAACTGGGCGTCAATTATTCAAAGTAGGAATAATGACATTTTCGAAGGATCGATCGTTAGCTTCTCAAAGACGAAATTATTAGCGGCGAACAGAATTGTGGGCCACGAGAACAGTTGATTACCGCCAGTAAGATCGATGAATCTTGCACTGATATTTATCGCAGGTATTTCGCGTTCCGCGTGTCGCAAGGGGTTGAATTTTATCGCCGGATGCGATCAGCCGACTCGCGCGCGCGGTGGATTTATCGACGTTTACAGCATCGAGGTAACCCTGACATCGATTCCCGCGTCGGGTGTGTTGACAGAGTGATTTCGTAATACAAATAGATGCACGTAATAGTGCTGTTTCTTTCCTCGTATGTATATAAAATAAAGTTTAACTGTTTTCAGGTCGATCTTTGTTAAAGACGCGTATATAAAAGAATATCTGGCATTATCTTCTAACATGTATGTGCTGCATGTGTCTAAATTTCCCTGTTTTAAAATTACGTTTTCTGTAGCCCTATTCTGTAACTTTTAACGACAGTTTCGTTATCGTTATATTGTCATTGCGGATATTTTTTACTATATATAATATTTGTGCAACGCAAATATAACGATAACTGTCGTTAAGAATTACAGAATCAGCCCTCTGGTATTTCTTTATCTCTTTTTAAGAGATAAAGCCAACTGACAAATTAAATTCGATTCAAATTAATCGTAATTTCTTTCGTAATTTGATACACTCGGCAGCCAGACAAAGAAAACCATTTGTGCAATTTTCTCGGACAGAAAAATATCAGAATGCATTTATTCGTTTGCATGTCAATAATTTCCACGCCGGTGTGTCGTTAGCGCGCCGCTGACATTTTCAGCGGAAACGACGCGTCTGCAGTGACGATAATTTGTTTTTGAACGAGATAACCGCGCAATTACCAAAGCTTGATATTCATCTATATATTCGATAAAACCACGTCGACATTATTCCAAATTATTGACCTTTCTGGTATATATTGTGATGAAAACGCAAATAGACTAATACTCTTTTTCTAGTTAAACTCCTTCAAGGCGATTGCTTGATTGAAAGTAACTTCTATCGTCGCAGTCTTATACACATTTCGTATAAAGAAAAGAACTTTTCGATGTCAAGAAAATGCTAACATTTTTTTATCAAAGCGCCAAGTAAAATATATTTTCAGACAGAGCTTTGACGACGACCTGAATAATTTTTTATTTGATTGACTGCAATACGAAAATTCCAATTAAATCGTAGTGCGTAAATATATCGCGTTATAACAAATCTATTAATTACATAGTTTTTCCATGTTTTCACCTTCTCATACTCGTGCACGCTATTGCTGAATGCGTACGAGAAATTGGAGCGGAAAATTATATTCGCATGTTTACTGTTTAAATCAGATTCATGATGATATAGTCACCCATCATGATTTGAAAATGATTTGAACGTTTCAGCGCGATGTTTGATAATTGCACGTGTACGCTGCTGTTAATCGAATTACGCAATATTTAAATTGCAATTCGAATTTCTAATTCTTCTTCCAAAGGTTCAACCTACATATCATTATGTTATCGTATCGTTTGATCAAACACTCGGTTTTTCCACGAATAGACCTTTTGTCACGAATTTATTTTGTTAAGATTAATTATAGTTGTTTAGCTTTTTCGTGTAATTATCTCATGATATCCCCAATTATAGTATTACAAATCGGTGTGACCTCAAAAGCAGTTATTTTTTACGATTTTCTTACGTTAATTAACTTTAAAGCGAACTTGCTTCATCCATGTAATCAACTAATGCGTATTCTCACGCGAAGGTCTCTGGGAGCGTGCATAACATCATATTTCGTCGTTAGATTAGTATATTTCACTCGGCCAAAAATCGTTGGCGACCTCTAATTTGGAGAAATCTTCGCGGTAATTCTACGGATATCTTAAATCTCAAGTTAGCATGCAATTTCCCTTTTGCGAATTCAGCAATGTAATATATTATTCTATACTAACTAGATTTGCGAGGAATGTGGCTATTTGCGCAACACATAAATTTTTCTTTGATTTAATAAAACGTTACATGAATGTAATTCAGCTACATAATAATGACATGATTAAGTATAATAAGTAGTTAGATTAACTATCAGTTCTCTTGAAGAAATGTTTTAAATAACATTACATGATTGTTCAATTAATTTCAGAATGACGAATAGTTGGTATTATAAATGCGAGCTTTCACATAATATAATGGAACGGAGATTTTATAGCAATATTTCTTGTATTAAGAATGTGTGATGAAACAATGTGTTTAAACTGACAGGCGTACCTATTAAACTAATAAATAAGTGACAAATTATCACCATTCTTAACAATCCTACTAACTCTTGTGTTGGTTGCTGTCGCTTTTTACATTTCCCGTGGCGTTTCAACGAGTAAGGGTCATCGAAAAATCCCATTCTCATTCGGCATTCGTGCCCGAAATGACAGTGCTTTGCGCACGTCATGGCGGTTGCGTGCAAGCCACGGTTTACCCTGAAATACGCCTCGTCGCCTTGAAATTCACTGCTGAGGAGTGCGGTATTGCCCCTCTTCCGATTTTCGCACACATTCGCTATCTCGCTGGCGGCGAGACATACCTTACGAGTGAATATATTTCTCACTGTCAACGTAATCCCGTAATGTTGTTTTAGGTCTGCTACGAGCGAGATAACATTTCTGAATTACCATAAGAAAATTGCACAAAGTGGCAGTGG